CATACTTGCATGGTAGTAACGGTTGTCATAACGCCATTGGTATCTGGTCGGCTTAGAAAGCTTGAATCTTTATAAAATTGATGTAGCAATTCCGGTGATTTGTGCAGGACGATACGGTAATATTGCTTCACGAAAGCATTGCCAACAACTTCAGCACTGAGAGCAGAGGAAGGAGCTGTTTCCTCTTCTTTTTGAGCCAACATTCTCTTTAAGTTTGTTTATTCTCTCTTCTTGGCGAAGTATACGAGGGAGTTCTTTTCTTTCAAAAGCTCATTAAAATGGTTAGGTCTAGTTTGTCCTTCAGAAAACTAGAAGAACAATACAGTTATGATAGAACAAATAATGTCAGTAAAGGTTTAATCGAGGAAAAGTTTAGATAATACCAAAAATATTGTGTCTGGCTTTAATTTCTAAATATTTAAGGAATCCAAGAAAACTAGATTTCTTAATCTATTACAAGGCCACTTCAAACTGCAAAATCACTTCACAAAACAACAGGACTTATCGGATCTAATTTGGCTACCAAGTAATTAAGTAAAACCAAAAATGGAGAGAGAGAGATACGGATGGGGAATCATAAACTGATCCAGTAACACAAAATAACATACCAAACTAGCAATTGACATAAAATTGAAGGAGCTAGCATGGAGCATTACCTTGGGAAGATTAGATAGGCATTTCCTTGCTAGCTAGGATGTTCAAGTTTGAAGTTGATTGTGCTGTGGAGTGTATGAATCCTGTTACAATTAATTACAAAGGACATATGATCTACATGTATGAAGTCAACTCTTTTGGGGATGATAAATTGGAATAAGTAATGCATCAAAATGTCATATATAAAAGAGCTTAGCTAGCCAGGCTTGACTTCGCACATATCTGCTGAAAAGCATTGATTTCGAGTTATACCAAGACATAATTGTTTTAATGGCAAGTTGCTTCATAAAATAAAGGATGGTAAGAAGACTTGTTGGGTCAACACAATAATATATATATATATATATATATATATATATATATATATATATATTAATTTCTTCCCATGTTAATACTAAGAAGCCACTCCAACGCTGCTTCGCGAAACAAATTTATTTATTTATTTATTTATTATTATTATTATTATTATTATTTTGCTGCAATTGATTGGATACTTCGCCTTCAGCAATATCATCAGGACTGCATCTTAAAATTCAGGAAAAAAGGGTAAGTAAGTTAATAATGCAGCTGTCTTCCATGGACATTGGGAGCAATCCAATAAATTTTTTTTACAGACGAGGCCCTATGATACACTCTCATTGAGTTTTTATCTTATTATTATGTTTTTTTTTTCCCAGTACAACTTCAAAGGATTACTTAGGTAATAAATACAATTTGATGAACATGACATAGGTAGCTAGGGTGTCCTGGTGGGAGGTTAATTTCCATGTAGTTTTGCCAGCAAATCCTTAAAGCCTGAGGACATCGTTGCTCCTACAATGTCTGATTCTGCTGTTGATAGGTACGAAGGACATGGAGGGCCAATAAAAGTGGAAAAAGGGGAGGAGCTGGAAGAATGACCGAAGCCAGGCTGGCAGGGTTGACTCCATCACATGTACTCCTAGTTGAAAGTGTTTAGTTTACAGTTAAGTTTATGGGTTTTTATTTATTGTTAAAATGTAAGTTGCTTAATTTAGTTTACAAAATGACATTTGTACTAAGAATCAAAATCAAATTTAAAATTTTCAATATCTAGTTTTGATGAGGAATAAGAATAACGATTGAAAATATAATTTTATTAATTATAATGCTAATAAAAATGATAGAGGTGATTGTGATTATGATGGTGACGATTGAAGAGAAAAATGAGAAGGTTGTGGTTGTAATAATAGTATTAATACATTTTTTAAAAAAAATTGATACCATTGCAAAATGAGGCGATAGTTAAAAAAGAGTGACGGTGATAGTAATATAATAAAAATGACGATGACATGGAAGAGAAGTAATAGTGGAATAATAATAATAATTAATTTTTTTAAAAAAATTATCTCCACCATCAATAGAGGTGGTGATAGCGGCAACAATGGTGATAGAGAAAAAATAATGATGAAATAATAATAATAATTTTTATGGTTACAAAGCGAACAAACATTATGTTTGGAAGAATCCAAATCTATAAGCAACTTATTTTGCTGATGAATGTAAAATCTTTTTAAAAAATCTTTTTAAACTCTGCACATTATTAAGTTTACAATTTTGTTTCATTAATTTATATGCTATTCAATTTCAGAGGTTGCAGCGTAAAAGCATGTTTTTATTATATAATAATTAAAAGAGTTTATATTATAAGTTTAGAAGCATTATTAGTTGTGAATAATCAATCTTGCAATTTTGAAACTAGCATCCCAGTTTATCTAGACAGATTGCAAACTTTATTTGAAACTTACAAACTGATCGCAATTTATTTAATTTAGTTTTTATATTAAAAAACAATAAAGTATCTTTAGAAATAGCAGTAAAATACATCAAATATTAATGTTAATTCATAGGTATTCGAGTTTAAAAGTTGTACTGTCTTAAAAATTACCATCCAACTATTTTTTACTTTTTGTTACAAAGTCTTTGACAATTAAGACAAACACAAAATAACCCGCAAAACATGACTGCATCTTAAAATTCTGGGGAAAAAAAAAAAGGTTAAGAAAGTTAATAATGCTGCTTTTCCATGGACATTCCAAGCAATCCAATAAATGTTTTACATGGAGTTTATTTAATAGAAAAATGATACCTACACCCTCACAACTTTTTCACACTGTCACAAGATTCCTTACACAAGCAAAAAAGTCCTTAATTAGACACGAAATTTTACTGTCTTCTTATTATGTTTTTTCCCGTGCAACCTTCAAAAAAATTAAATAGATAATAAATATAATTTGATCAACATGATAGATTGAAGGAAGAGTGGCCTGGTGGGAGGTTAATTTCCATCTAGTTTTACTACGAAAAATCCTCCAGGGCGCCTAAGGACATCTCAGCTCCTACAATGTCTGATTCTTCTGTTGATATATACGAATACAAAGGGCGTGTAGGGCCAATAAACGTGGAAAGAGGGGAAGGAGCTTCGCCATGAATGATAGGAAGAGAGGTCGATTTGAAGGGTATCCCATCTTGCTTTTGAGCCATCACCTTGATCTCTTCTCTAGGTTCTTTTTCACTCTGCTTCTCGTTGTTAGACTTAATTTCAGGAGTTCTAATTGTCGAAGAAGTGTCAAAATCTTGCCAAGCTGACTCAATGCCAGCTCTTAGAATATCAACTTTCATATCTCTTTCAAGCAGCTTGCCCTTAAGGCGATCGATTTCCTCGTCCTTTTGATCTAGCATGCCCTTCAGGATTTCTACTTCCTCTTCTTTGAAAAGTAACCTGCTCTTAAGTGAAGTCATTTCTTCAAACATGGTCTTAAGAGAATTCCTTACTTCCAAAAGTTCACGATCTTTTTCATGCTGAAGAACATCATCAGGCTTATTTTTCTCATCTGTGACCTGGAAGAAATCCAAAATAAAAAGAAAAACTAAATAAGTCATTAACAGGTGCTGAAAGCTCATTAAGGAATTGATCTACAAATTTTTCTCAAGCAAAAATGAAACAAAATACTAGCTATACGTTAATTTCAAGTAATTCTTAACAACCCAATAAGGAGAAATAAATTATTGCTTTGAAATTCATATAGTAACAGTTTATATATCAAATTTCATTAAATTGTTAAATTGAAGGACGTACCTTCGTCTTGGAAATTTTGGAGAGGATGTCTTTCATTGGAAGGATCTGAAACTTTGAAGATGAATATTTGTGCTATGAAGCTTTTTGGTTCCAGCTATTATAATCAATCGGCTCCAGGGCGAAGGAGTTTTATCTCCCAGATCCAAATTTTAGAAGATATCATAAGAATTTTTTGTAAGTATATGAATCCGAGCATGAATGATTAGGTCAAAAGTCAACCAACGAATTAAGGAGCCTTAGTTTTGGTAATAAAACTGAGTTCACATCATTGACCATAGGCTGGCTGGCAGGCTTATTTTAAATCATGGATAAATTTTATGCGTCTTTTTTTTATTGTTAAAATGCAAGTTGCTTAAAGGAAAAGACAACAAAATTTGTTGGATCACCAACAAGATCTAAAGGAAAAATACTAGTAATAATTTCATGTCAGCTGACATTTCTCCCTTTCACATGGCATTTAACAAGGATAGAGCTAGGCCAGCTGAAAAGTCCATCTGATTGCTCCTGTTCTCATATGAGTCCTCCACCAGGCACAATCTCTTCTTCGAAGAGGCTTCCTTTGTCAACTTTAAAATCCAAAGTGGAGAAGTACTGCTTGACTTCTTTAATTGTGTACTAGTTGGCATTTTTAACTACAGTTTTTTGAAAAATTAAAGATAACGACGTTGTCAGGCCTGAAGCCAATAAGAGTTATGTATTGTTTCGCATTATCAATAAACTATGCATAAACTTAAAATCTAGTTCCTCCTTTTATCTTCAAATCAGTTCTCCTGTATCAAGAATAAATCTCTTTCCGAATTTTGAGTCACTTTTTATACGTAAAAATTTAGGTTTTGTTTTTGAAGCTCAAGCTAATTTTCACACACGAAAAGAAATTGTTTTCTTAGGAAAATTTACTCTTTTTCTAAGCAAATTCATTTACCAACTAGTAGTATAGACCTACAAGGTAATATATGGATGCGAGTGGAAACAGAACAATAATAAAGGGATAAGACGAAAGAAAATACGAGACTAAGTCATGTTTGGTAATAATATACAGGATAGAATAATTTTCTATGTATGTTTCTTGGTTGATGGTATATAAAACAGAGGAAAATACTGAAAAAGTCTTTCTTACCCCTGTTTTGTATTCTCTTTATACTTGGCATGTTTGAAACAATAACCGGAGACATTATAAGCTGCTCGTGCGGGTGCTGGTGCTGGTGCTGGTGCTGCAAGTGATGAGATTACAATTAATAGAATCTGGTAAATGGCAGGGAACGATTGGATAAACAGCTATGTTGAAGCAATTCTGGATGTGGGTTCTGACTTAGACGACCCAAAATCATCTCTTTTGCTTAGAGTGAGAGGCAGCTCGCACTCTAACCCTGCAGCTCCTTATTTCTTCGGAGAGACCCAGGTTCAATTATGTTTATGTTGTTTTCTTTCTCTATATCAGTTTATTTTTTATGTTCCTCTGGTGTGTTATGTTTTTTTTTGTGTTCACTGTTATAAGCGCAGGAGATGAGGAGTTCGAAAGAGAGGAATGTGAGATTGGAGAATATGCGTTGGAGAATTTGGAATTTGGCTCGTCAAAAACAGGTTGTTCTTTTCTAGTTATGTGTTTGTAATTTTTTGATCCCTCTAGTTTGCCAAAATGTTCCACCCCAGCCCTTACGAATTAAAATGTTCAAATTTTACTCTGTATCAAAGTTTTTAATTGGTTGCAATGTCGGTAATCTAATGTCTGAATTTTGTCAAAATATTAAACGTTACTCCTTACCAAATTATAATATGCAAGAACTTTTTTTGTCATAATATAGTATTCATAAAAAAAAGGGTGAATTTGTTTTAATTTTGTGGATTTGAGTATGACAGATTTTTCCATCTTGAAGAATTATGAAGGGTTGGGGTGGTTTGGATTTTTCTTGTTCAAATGGGCTTAATATTTAGTCAGTAGTTGAATTAGAAGTTAATATTTAGCCAATGAAAGTGTTCTTCTTAAACTTTCTGGTTTTCTAATGAGCAATATGTTGCTTTTTCTTTTCCTTTGAATTTTCTGAGTCTCGTTGTAACAGAAAAGAATATCTATACTGTCTCAGGTTGTTTGACTTTGACCTCAATGATTGAATGTATATTTGCTTTTGTAGCTTGAGGGAAACCTAGGCGCCCCAAAGAACGTTAAATTTAATATCGATCGCCAAAGAAACCGCAAAGAAGCTGAGCAAGCTGATGTATGCAAAGACCTATCAGAGGGAGAAAAAGGAGATACAGTCAGGAATGTATCAGCTTACGGTGATAGCAACAGAGGCAGAGAACCTATAATCAATTCTGATGTTGCGCTGAAAGATTGGTCTGGTCAACAGGAGAGAAAGAAGCTATACATTGTGTTAATAAGGCATGACCTGAACTTTAGCTCCCTAATGCTTGAATGTGCTTGTGATTATAAAGTGTTTAGATGGTGTAGTGTTCCTTATTTCAATTTAATCAATAAGGTTGGCTTATACTTTCTGACCATTATATATGTACATCAATAATTTCACTAGCTGCAGAAGAGAAATTGATCATGTCCTGATTATGGTGTTAGGATGTGCAGTATGATTTTTTCCAATATGCATGTTGATCATTTCACATTCTTAACAAGTAGCATACATGCAGCCTTCAGGGTCTAATACGAGGTGAAGATTTGGAACTTGGCCACGATTCTGACATTGGTAATCAGGTAATACTTGTTTATAGAAGTTATTTATTTATTTAGTTTTGGCATGCTATTATGCGGCTGTCCTTCCCGTTTCCTGGTCATGGATAACTGAATCGCTGTTGGCAAGCCTAACATAGATACCTATGATCTTGAGTCTATTGTGTTTCTTCCAGGTTAACTATGTAGTGGAACTTGCAAGGGCTTTGGGCTCAATGCCATCAGTCTACCGAGTTGATTTGATAACCAGACAAGTATTATCACCAGATGTAGACTGGAGATATGGTGAACCCACAGAGCTGCTTACTATCGAGGATTTCTCGGATGACTTTGGAGAGAGCAGTGGTGCTTGTATTATCCGTCTACCTTTTGGACCACATGATAAATATATGCCAGAAGAAGTTTTGTGGAATCATATCCCGGAATTTGTAGATGGTGCGATTAACCACATATTTCAAATGTCTCAAGTTCTAGGAGAACAAATTGGTGGAGGAAAGCCAGTCTGGCCAGCTGTCATCCATGGGCATTATGCTGAAGCAGGAAATTCCGCTGCTCTTCTCTCTGGTGCTTTAAATGTCCCTATGCTTTACACTGGTCAGTCACTTGGCCGACTGTTGGTCGATGAAAAGAACTTGACATACGAAATGATGCTTCAGATTGAGTCTGAGGAGTCATCCCTTGATGTCTCAGAGATAGTCATAACTAGCCACAGACAGGAGATAGAGGAGCAATGGAGCTTGTATGATGGTTTTGATCCAACAATGGAACGTAACCTGGGAGTAAGAATGAAGCACAATGTGAGCTGTTATGGGAGATTCATGCCTCGCATGGCTGTAAGTACCCTGATTCATGTTATTGGGATGAAACCCTTGCTTCTACATGGTAGTGAATAGAGCTGTCAGAATCTAGGCAGGCCTGCCCTTTCCTAGAGCTTGCCTTATGAACACAACATCATTAAGTTGGTTTACTTCAATTCTTGCTTCTATTCATCGAATGGGCTTACTATTTTATTTGGAGTTAATGGCTGCCTGCGTCCATCTAGGATAGTGGAAGTTGGATATGCTGTTCATTAAACAGAACCGGAGTGTGTTATTAAGGTATAAGATGGTGTTATGATTTCTTAACAGTTTTCCAAGGAATCTGTTGACTGGAATCATATGGGAGCATATTTTGATGTCATTGACGAAGAATTGATTTTGTTTCTATGTTAATCTGTTCTAAATCTTCACGGATTCCTCTTCCTGTCATGTTGTGCTAGGCACCTGAGATAATTTTCTTGCTAGTTAAATGGACATATTTTAATAATTTTGGTTTTGCTATGCAGATAATTCCTCCAGGAATGGAGTTTAATCATATTATTTCCGAAGATGGTGATATGGATGGCAAAATAGAAGGGAATGAAGACCATCATACTTCTCCTGACCCACCAATATGGTCTGAGGTTGTCATTTGTTTGTTTGTTCCTCTGATGCATTCTAGATGGATCATCGATTTGTTATGTTTACCATTTTTATCCTCTTTTAATAGGATTCGTACTGCTTTAGGTGAGTTTTTTGTACTTTTTATTCTGCAGATAAGGCACTTCTTTACCGATCCTCGAAAGCCTATGATACTTGCCTTCGCAAGCCCAGACCCCAATGAGAACATCACAACGTTGGTTAAAGCTTATGGAGAATGTCATTCATTGAGGCAGCTTGCTAACCTTGTATGTTTAGTTACCTAAAGGCTTGTTTCATGGAGATATATTCGTAATTGATGCTCAGTTGAACTGGCCTTTGTATTGAGGTTGTCCTACGTCTTTACTATGTACCCTCTGTATTACAGACACTAATTATGTCTCATCAAGATGGATTCGGAAGAATGTCAAGCATGAATGCTTCTGTGCTTCATTCAGTGCTTAAGCTTGTTGAAAAATATGATCTGTATGGTCAAGTCGCATATGCTAAACACCAAAAGAAGTCTGAGGTTTGTGACGCGTATCGTCTAGCAGCAAAGACAAAGGTATATGCTGCTCCAGTGAGCATCCTAAATTTTGCAGTCTTCATCTATTTTTGCTAGTAAATGAGACATGATTTGTGAAAGTACAGGCTTTCCCTAGTGTTTTCTGTATAAAGAAGACAAAAATTTATCAGGGCTGTCTTAATACCACCTTATCATCTGCTAGTTTAGTGCAATTTACAAATAATTAGACATCCTGTTATGGTTAACAAAAAATTTACATTGCTAGCTCAAAGATCTTTGTTCCATGAGTTTTGTGCAGGATTCATGAAAGTAATGTATCATGTTGTTAACTTTGTCCCCTCCTCTCTCTTTCCAAACACACACGCAGCACATGGTAATTTGTCGTTAGATATGCCATTCTGATTATGAAATTCTGCAGGGTGTTTTCATCAATCTGGCTTTCATCGCGCCATTTGGGCGAGCTTTAATTGAGGTGCTCTTCTAATACAAATGGTAGTTTGTCTTTATGACTAATTATTATTCAGTAGGGACTCAGTGTAAACTGTTGCTCTTTTGTTGAGCAGGCAGCAGCTCATGGATTGCCGACCGTTGCCACAAAAAATGGAGGTTCAGTAGATATACACCAGGTATGCATACTTGTCCGAAAACATTGCTAAGAAGATGACATCTTTTCAGCAGTACTGATTCTATTCTGGGTATTTCCTCAGGTACTTGGCAACGGTATACTTGTTGATCCCCATGATCAGCAGTCTATTGCTGATGCTCTTTTAAAGCTTGTTGCTGATGAGCATCTTTGGACAAAATGCCGAGAGAATGGGTTGAATAAATTTCACCTATTTTCATGGCATGAGCATTGCAAGACTTACCTATCTCAAATAGCCAGTTGCAAACAAAGGTATCCACAGTGGGTAGTAAATGATGACGAAGATTATGATGCTTACATAGATTCTCCAGGTAATTCCTCGAGATATATACAAGATATACCTTGGAATCCCAGGTTTTCAGTGGATGACAAAAATTCTGGAGCTAATGGAAATCATAATTCTGCAGAATTTGGAGGAAATGCTGCTGATAAGAATAAATTAGAGAATGCTATTTTGGCTTTCTTCAAGAGTCAAAAGGCTGGCTCCACCGAGAAAGCAGACCTACTAAACAGTTCTGTAAAGTTTCCAGCATTGGGATGGAGGAGACGTATCATTGTCATAGCAGTAGATTTTGATACCATCACTAGTCTTCTTGATGTCATTAAAAAAATTTTCCTGGCTGTTCAAAAGGAAAGGACTGAAGGTTCTATAGGGTTTATATTGTCAACGTCCTTGACTATAACTCAGATTCGCCCGCTTCTTGCCCAGGGGGGTTTAGCCCCAGTGATTTTGATGCTTTTATTTGCAATAGTGGTAGTGATATCTACCATTCAACTCCTAATTCCGAGGATGGTCCCTTTGTTGTTGACTTTTATTATCACTCACACATTGAATACCGTTGGGGTGGAGAAGGCCTGAGGAAAACTCTGGTTCGCTGGGCATCTTCTGTTACAGATAAGAAGGTTGAGAACGAGGAACATATTATAACGCTAGCTGAAGAACTTTCAACCGACTATTGTTATGCTTTTAATGTGAAAAAGCCAGGACAGGTATTTTTCTACTTTTCTACTCTCAACTCTCAATAAACATTTAATTTTTCTTTCAAAACCAACGCTGAATTTCTTTGTTTACACTTGGTTTGTGATGGCCTGAATTATTTTCATAAGGAATTGTGCACTAGTAGGATGTAAATGCATCATGAGTTTTGCCCATGTCTTTTGTAGATTCCCCCTGTTGAGGCACTTCGAAAGTTGCTGAGAACTCAGGCTCTCCGATGCCATGTTATTTATTGCCTAAATGGGAGCAGGATAAATGTAATTCCAGTATCAGCTTCCCGTTCCCAAGCCCTCAGGTATAATTCCCATGAATATATTGCTTATATCATAATGGATTACAAGCAAGCAGACAAGATAGCCAAATTAAACTTGAGAATTTATGTAATAATTTTCATTTATTGGAATTCTGATTCACGGACAAGCTGATAGTTTGATACTTTCTTTGCTCGCCTGCATTATTGACATCAAACACAGAAATCTTTTTTGCTTTTCCTTTATGCTAATTAAAATATATATATATGACTTAAAACACATTTCAGGTATTTGCATCTTAGATGGAGGGTGCAATTGACAAATATAGTGGTATTTGTTGGAGAATGTGGGGATACGGATTATGAAGGATTGCTTGGTGGGATGCACAAAACTGTAGTATTGAAGGGAGTTCGTAGCAATGCAAGTAATCACTTCAATTTCAACAGAAGCTACCCTCTCTCAGATATCCTGTCATCTAAGAGCCCAAATATTGTCCAGACACCTGAACAGTGCACCATCTCTGATATCCGGGGTTCATTGCAACAATTAGAATGTTTGTAGGGTGTCTCAGCCATTCTTCTCCACCATCTTGATTTCGGATGCTTTAAGTATCCTTTTTTTTGTGGGTTTTCTGTTGAAACCTCAAACTATTTTATTTTTCTTTGCCATTTTTCTGCTGATTCAATGTTCTTCTCGTTGTATTTTGTATAATTACACTAGAAAGAGTTGCTTGTAATTAACCACATTATTTAACAACAATATTGTTCTTGCTTTTTGACATAGCGGGAGCTCATAAGAAAGAATGATAAATACCGTTAATCGATATTCGGATACCGGTCTACTATAACCTGTTGATTTGCACACAAATATCGGAGAATAGGCTTCAATTACGTTGATTCAAAAAATGCCAATAATTGAGAAAATTGAGATACTTTCTCATAAAAGTTTATTAATCAAGCAAAAATTAGTCTTTCTCGACCTAGAAGTCTTACATAAATAGTAAATTTTAGGTCAAAACCCTAAAGCAATTTGAAAAGGAAACAAATACTAAAAATCTAAAATTAATTAGGAAAATCCTGAAATTAACTACAAATCCCGTAGAAAACCTTTCTCACCTTGATCACCGCCTCGGACGTCCGGAGAACAACCTTATGGCATACTTCGCTACTCGGGGGTTCACCCCTACATTCCTCCCACGCCTTAGTGGTGCCTTCACCTCTACCTACTCGCCTATTCGGAGAAGTTTTCTTTCCCTTTCACTTTTTCATTTTCTGTTTTCTTTATTTTTTTCAACTATGGTTGCACTCGCACTTATTTTGATTTTCGTTTGTCTTGTTGATTTGTTGTTGTTGCATGGAGTCCATATTGAGGACAATGTGTATCCTAAGTGTAGGGGAGATGGTCCGTCTTGCATTTTCCTATGTTTATGCTTGTGAAATTTTTGCTCATTTATGCTCATGTTGTCCTTAATTTTGCTATAATTCTACTAGTTAAACCCCCTTTCAAATCTTTAATTTTGTTGAAACTCGTCTTAAAATGGATTGAAATTATTTGAATAATTGAGTTGGATAAAAATAAGATAGGAATTAGCATAAACATATAGACACTCTTGCTTGATATTTTTGTGTATAACAACCCCGCAATAATCGACTTAAATGAGAAATGCATAGAATTCACACAAAACATACATATATGAGCTTTTGAGCCTTTGAGCATTCATCTATATAAGCTCTATTTCTTTCTTGATTGTGTGTTTGTCCTTGTAAGTTGAATCCTCTAGAAATTGCCTTGCTATACATTTTGAGACTACACCTTTGGACTAAATGCATTGAGATGATAAGGGCACCTAGGATTAGCCATTTTTAAGCCTCTTAAAAACCTACCTTGATTTTCACCCCTAGGAACCAAGTTTAAGCCTAAGCCTTTTCTCGATTAAATAACCAGAATATAAACCAATCAATCCCTTTATTTGCTAAACAACCCATGCTGGAACCCTAAGTTAAGAATTTTATACATGTTTAATTAAGTGAAACTTTGATTTTGTTGAAGAAAATTACCAACAATGGTTGTTGTCCTAATTATTGTAGTTTACTAATGCATGTTTTCTGCTTGTGACTAGTTTGTTAAAAAAAAAAAAAAAGAGAGAAAAAAGAAAAAGAGAAGCGAGTAGAAAGGAAAAAGAAGAAAGAAATAATAAAGGACACAGATTGGGATTAGCAAATTAGGAAAAAAAAAAAAGCAAGCATGTAATGCTTGAGGAATCGAATTTTTAAAGGTTGAAACTTGTATAGGATTCTTGACTTGTTTAGATGCAATTAGCATCCACCAAACCTCGACCACGATCCCATTTCACCATATCATAAGACCCTTTGATTTTTGCATTTAATTCAATAATTAGTAGTAGAGATACGATATCTTGGCAAGCTTATGGTAAGGATTCTTCCGTGCCTTGACTTGAGAGTTGACAAATACATTCACCCTAAACACTATGAGTGCTTATGAGTGAATTCTTGGTAATGGTGATGAATTCGGCTGCATTTCTAGTTTAAAATGACGGTTGCGGGTTTTTTATGCATGATTGTAGAAAGTATAGAGTTTCGTAGCAATTGCCTTGTTTTTGTCATGTTTTTAGTTTAACTCTTTCGAGGCTTTGTATTCGATGTATGGATAGATTAGTTGAGATAGAATGAGGGGTTCGGAGTGTTAGCTTGATGAGTCCGGATTATTACATGCTTGAGGGCAAGCATGAGCTAAGTGTGGGGGATTTGATAGTGATCAAAATACATATGTTTAAATTGCTTAATTCCCTTGCATTTCTACTGTTTTGAGGTGTCCAAATGATAGAGCTTAACTCGCTTTTGTATTCTATGTGCCAAGATATGGAACTGATTGATAAATAATGTTAAAAGGACCATATAAAGAAAATTTATCATCAAGACGGATTCGGACACTCGGAAAGCATGAGAAGCGTAGGCACGTAAGAGTAATAGTATGGGCACGCGGATGCGACGAGACATGGACATACAAGAGTATGAAGGCGTGGGCACGCCGAAAATCGTAGAAACGGACAATAGACCTCCACTAAGAAACAAATCCTATTGCGATTTACCGGGAATAGACTCGACCCGTCCGAAAGAGGAGGGAATATTTTATACCCTTTTTGGAAAATAGAAAGTCCCTATAAATAGGAACATAGCATAGTAGGGCGGACACCTTTTATTCATTCTTTTATTCTTTATAGTATTGTCGACTTTATTTTATCTCTCTTACTATAAAGGTCGCTATGAATACTATCATGAGCAACTAAATCCCTTTCCTTGGTAAAGGTAATCGAGGCTTTTGAAAATCAAAGATTTTGAGGTGCTTAAACATTAATGCAAATCGGTTTGTATATTTTAAGTATTGAACTTTCTTCTATGCTTATTTTCATTATTATTTAGGTTGATTTATAATGTGCACGGTTAGTTTATTAACCGAGATAATCTATAGTTAGATCGAATATTGAATCCATAATTGTTCAATCCCTTTGATTTATGTAGCAACTAAGAGTGTATGGTTTGTTGCGTCGAAACTAATGACTCTTAGGAAGATTATTTAACTAGATTAAATGTAACTACATGTGTTGTGTTGTCTTGCTTTGTTGATCTTTTTAATACATCAAGTCATTGTTTGATTAAATCTTAGATTGTATCTAGGGTTATTGAATAATGAGTGTTAACTAGAATACATGTTTCTAGTTGACTAATCGTAAGGAAAGATTGATTTCAATATCACAACAAATATTTGCATGAGAGTCCGATATTTCTTGCACCAAGGATAAATCTTACATTTCAAAAGTGGATGTGACCCGAACCAAGGTATGTTCACTTGAATATTTGTTTTAAACTTATTTTCTAAATTTAATTTGTTTAGTTTCGGTTATATCTCAATCAAACCAAAAACCTCCTTTTTTTTATTTATTTAATCTTTCTTCCGGATTTGTGACGATCGATGCAACAAAAACTCGTGAGATTGATCCCTTCTCTCCCTTACTAAATTTGTGTTGTAGGAGTTTAGGAGTTTAATTTGGGTGCACATGACAACATCTCACTAGTTACCCCTATCAATTTAGGAAGCTTAAATTAGGAAACTATTTCCTAATATTTTAGGAAACTCAAATTAGGAAACTATTTTTTAATATTTTAGGAAGCGCAATTTAGGAAACTATTTCCTAAATTATAGCAATTCTAATTTAGAAAACTAATTTCCATTTTAGGAAACTATTTTCAAATTAAGAAATCATTTTCAAAATTCTTTTAGTGTTTAAGAAATTAAAATCAATCATTTCAAGTCCTATTTTTCTTTCATAATTCTCCACTTTTCTTTATCCGTATCAATGTCAAGCTTATGCATGTGACTCAATAGGTTTCTAGATTTATTGATAATGTATAGACAAGTAAAAAATAATAATTATTTTATCTCTCGATACATAAATCAAGATTGACCTCTAACAAGGCATCATGACTACCGAGATGAATACTCTTACTAAGAAGTTGCAATGAAATTTTACGGTATATATTTTCCCTATCGAGTCGAGTAGTGTGGTGGTAGTATAGCAATATTTTTTCTATTTTTTATTTTTTTGTGATATTTACAAATAATTGAGTATTTTTGAATCAGTTTTCATGTCAATCAAGATTAAGTCTATCATTTTCTCAAACATATCGGCATCAAAACACATCTAGTATTTAGTCGAGTTTTAAAGACCGGACTCTTTAATTCCATCGGTAAGTATATCATCTATTTTGTGCTTAAAATATTTACTTTTAGTTAAAGAAAGAGAGGAGAAGAAAAATAATTGATGGCAATTGTGTTGTTAATAGTAGTGTTTCGAGTTATCTCGTTGTTGTTGCCATTTTGTGATCCATTGCTTATTGTAGAAACAAAACGTATGGCGAGTATGATTGAGATGAGACTTGCTATGTTTGAAAACAATGGCCTAGATAAATAATAAATTAAGTATGGTGAAGAAAATGTTTTTAAGTGAGATGTTTATCCAACATTGAAAAGAAAAGAAAAGAAGAGACACTTTATAAGTAGACCTTTTGTAAAGATTTTCAATTAGAAGGATTTGGAGGGAACTCAAATTGGAGTAAAGCTAGTGGGTGAAATTACACACGGACAAACACACACACACATATTTATATGTATATTAAAAAAAAACTAGCACTTAGCACGTAATGTATTTTGGATTTATTTTTTATTAAATTAAATTTGTAATTAATTAATTAATTTTTTAAAAAAATAATATGACTCGTTAAAAAGTAACAATTAGTCATTAAATCAAACTATTTTTTCAATAGTCATATTGATTATGAAAGGCTTCTAGTAATTTATAAAAAAAGGACTATTCAAAAAATAATTTAATTCTTTCTTTTACAATGCTCCTCCTCTTCCTCTCAAAACTCTTCTCTTCATAAAATTCTACGAGTTTTAAGAGAAATTCTCTAGAAGGAATTTCAAGAGTGATGTCTCCAATTCATTTGGTGCAAAGTTGAATCCTAGAAGTGAATTATCAAAAT